CTTTGTGCCAAATTTTATTTTAATATCTTTATTTATGGCTTAGTTATGACACTTTATAGGTTTTCGGTTTCCGCCATTTTGTGGGCGTGGCAGTGGGTCGATTTCTCCCATCTTCCAACTTAACCTTCTTATGGCGCCAAGAAATAAGTGTACCAAGTTTCATCATGATATCTTAATTTTTACTCAAGTTACATCCGGATTTCAACTCAACTCGTCACCCTGATCATTTTGGTATATATAACCCTATATCTGACTCTTTTAGTTTTAGGACTTACAAACAACCGTTATGTGAACAAAGCTATAATACTCTCTTTAGCAACTTTGTTGCGAGATTATAAAAATGAGAATGAGCACTGAGTCCCCAACTCACGGTTCTAAAACTAACCTCCCTGGCCATGAATTTGTGCAGATACCCACCGAGCTAAACCCGAAGGATCTATATGGATATATCCTGCAACATTTAGTCGCTTCAATGCATATATTTCATCCAAAATGACCATAGGTGGCGGGTTTATCACTAGTTCCATGGAAAGATTTTGTATATTCTTGAGAACACAAGTATATACGTTTGCTCCAGATTCTGCCCAAAACTCTCTGCGATAGCCAATTCTGGATTATATTGAGAATGATGGTCATTACATGACCGTTATAGATAGAAATGTCGTCTGCATATGCTACTATCTTAGGGATTTGTCGTCTAAGTTCCTTAGTGGTTTATTCGGTATTATTGTCCATAGGAGCGAAAATAGAATTCTATCGCCGGTATGCTCTTTTCCTGTAGAGATCATGAGGCATCTGATCCAACGCTGTATAGCATGATCAACACTATATATAAACTCATTTTATTTTAATTTTGGAAACCAAAAAATATTTCAGTTACAAGTCTTGAATTAAAAGACAAGAAAAATTTTAAGGAAATGAATTATAAGTTTTTATAAAAAATTATTTTATAAAATACTTTGATAAGTCCAGTTTAAAAATGTATTTTGTACGACACCGTGAAGTTGAAGCAGGATTTTCAGGAACTGGCAACTTCAGCTCTATTTCACTGCGCATAATTATAGCCAAATCTTCAATTTCTGGATTAACAAAAGCCGAACTTGAAGGAGATGTCTTTCGGAAAAATTTTATGTTATAAGTGCAGTTGCCAAACGTTTCTATTATTTGAACTACATAGAAAACGGTGTTTTTGACGTTTTCTTGGAATTTTACCAGAACGTAGTCTCCCACAGTCAAATTATCATCATCAGTTATTTTGTGTGTCTCTAAATCATCTGCCCTGGATTCAAGGTCAAGGTCTCTTTTGTGAAAACTTGAGAGTGCGCTTGGCGGTTTTAAAAATTTTTCTTTATAGTCAGCACATTTGCAAAGAGTTCGGAAATCATCCAACCGGATTTTGTATTTACACGAGGAAATATATAAGCCGGAGGCAAACGATTTCCGCAAGCGTTAACTATGCCAACGATTGTAACCAAGCTGCCGCGCTCAGCGGAAGATGCTTGAGAAACAGAACGTTGTCCTTTTGCAGCACAAATCTAGAGAAGAAATAGGTATGTTATTTAAAGTCATTAACGTGTATTTCCAACCAGGCTAAAAATACGACTAAATGTATAAGCCTATCTTACCTTAATAGGTTCTATCACCGTAGCTAAAAAAGTTTCGTCCAAATTATAGATATCTTTTGGCTGAAATGAGTACTTTTCAAACAACGTAGTAAGGTTTTTGAAAAAACTTTCCACTGCTGATTTAGTAAAACCGCGTAATCTTGCCAAACTGATCTTTTTAGGTTTCCGAAGAGATATAGAATAATTTCTTTTAAGAAATCCGTAAAGCCAATCGTCTCCAGCTTCTTTGGATTTTTCCCAGGCAGTTGGAGTAACCAAACTTTTAGCTTTAGCGTAATCATATGCAAACTTTAAAGTTCGATAAGTTAAGCCGTAAGAATAAAAAGCACATTTCTTGACGTAATCACAAATATCGGTTTCTTGTTGCTTATTAAATGTCTGGCGAGATGTGAATTTCGATTGAAATTTAAAATAATCATCAGAGCTGCTATCATTGCCAGAATGTGAAAGATTGCCAGAAGGTGCCTTATGTTTTAAACGCATGATTAGAGTTGTTCTATTTATTCCATATTTGATGGCAGCTGTAGTTTGCGTTTCAGTCCCATTTCTGATATCAGTTATTGCCTTTCTAATATTATCGTCATTTATGGCACACCGATTAGTCTTTTTTTTTATAATTGCGTACCATTTTCCTGCTGAATATCAACACTAAATTGCATAAAGTGCATTCATTACATAGTCAAAACAGAGACGGGGTACATTCAAAAATGTCAAATGTACCCCAACTGAGTTTACTTTAGAAATTTCAATTTTCTTACCTTTTCTTACCTTTTCAATTCTTTTATTCTTGAATTTCCAAATCTTTTCAAAACCATTCAGAATAATACTAGTTAAGTTCACTTAGCACTTTAAAATGGTGTTCAATTGATTTCACAAATGTCTTGCATATCACTGCCACAAAATAACACAGAACACAGAGAAAAGAGAAAAACACGTGTTGCTTCACCAAAATGTGTAAACACTAACTGGTAAACTTCAACATATTGAATAAAATCAATTACTTCACCATTCCCAATTTATAAATGCGATTGATTTTACTGGCTTGACTTCGAAAAGGCCA